CTTCATCTGGCTTCTCAGGGATGTTACTCAGTCCATTCCAACAGACTGCAGAGACATTAAGGAGTATTTCCTAACAAAGGTAAGCCAACTCATTTTGAAACAGAAATGACAAAAGAATTAATCAAACGCTTCCCTGAAATATTATCTTCTTCAAACGGAAAACATGTGTAATGTGCTCCTTACCCTCGGCGATGGGGATCTAAATCTTGTATTGGCTTGTTATATAAACGTTAATATGAAAGGGATGACAGAGGATCTTGGTTTTGTCACAATGAGGTTCACCTGATCACCCCTAAAAGGCTCTGTAATAGTCTTGTGACCCTTCCCCCCTCCCCCCCTTCATTAGCAATTAATTGGTAGTCAATTGTCCATAGTATCCCCTTCATACTCTGTTGGCAACGACTGATCCCCCCTCCGTTCCCCACTGAAAACCATCTTCCTTCCAGAATCCTCGGCTCCCACCCCAGTAGAAAATGACTGGTTCCTTATTACAACTGCTTTTTAAACCAACCAGGTTTTCAAGGACCAAGGAATGGGACAGGCAGACCACACCCAACAAGTCGCTGAAAGCATTTTGCGTTTCTTCCCTGGCTTCGAAGCCTTCAAATTGCCACCACCATCTGTAAGTGAAGAGGTCATGAAAAAAATCAACAGAAACAAAAGTCAGATCAACAGTGAGTTCTTCTCTGGGATAGAAAAGTTCAAGGTCTTGTTGAAAAGAACTCTTACTCCTAAGCACAGCTTCAACGACGGAGAACTTGTGACTGGTGAAGGTAAAGGCTACTATTGCATCTTCGTTTGGCTTTCATCTCCCGTGAGAGAGCAACTCGTAACTTCTCTCAGATTTCTATGTATTTTTCAGACGAAAATTACTAGTTTTGAAGACAAATTTCGAGGGATTAGCTTAATCTCTAGAATCTTAAGTCGCCGCCTACTTCTTGAATTATGGGAGTCACAATCTTATGCCATGTTTTTCAATTTTAGATTATTTTTTACACCGTTTGTCTACTGTATACTTTTCTTATTAAGTATATCCTTAAACTTAAAGACAATTTTCATCCCTCAATGACCCACTCTGTTTCCAGGTTTGACCGCCTTGGTTGAGCTTTACGTGCAGGCCATCAACACTCCGGGAGTGATTCCTAATGTCCAGTCAGCTTGGGACACATTTGTAACAGATAAATGTTCTGAAGCAACGCACGAAGCCATGAATGTCTACAGCGCTGTTGTGGTTTCAAAACTGTCCAATCAGCTGCCTTGTGACTCCGAAGAAATTCGTAAATGTCATGAAACGGCATTTGATCAAGCAATTGGTGAGTTTCAAGCCGAAACAATCGGAATATCCTCCATTACAACCGAGAGGTACCTGAACTAACTGGCGGTAAGGAGTTTTTACACATTGCTTAAACATTCCTCATTCAGTACTTTGGAATAAAATGATGCCGACGAACTTTTGCAAACTTCGTCCATTGTTTTCCCAACATTTTTGTGGGGATGAATAAAATTTTCGATATGTGACAGAATTCTAACAGGACAAAATCTTTATGATTTAACTCAAGGTTTCGGATCTTGGTGAAATATCTAAAAGCAGCAGAGTACCTGGTCCGAAATCGAGTGCGGTGAAAAGAATAGGTTGTGCAGAAGCATTTCCAAAGCAATGAAATATCCTTAGTTCTTTTTCCACGAGGCGCAAAACTTTCCTCAAGCTTTGCCAAATACACATTTTCTGATGACTGTTTTTTGTGCACGTTTCCGCGCCAGGTGGAGGCTACTGCTTGTTCATTTCATAGCAGCATCGACCTAACTCCAATTAATAAGTGATAAATATTTAGTAACTGTCTGGATATACAACCATGAATGCCATGAAATAATAGTTACAGTGCTTCCCAGCATTCATTGTTGGACTTACTGGGGAGAAATGTTCTTAAATTTCAATTTTTTTTTGTACAAATTACTTACAGAAACAACCAATAAATGTCCAGTTGCTGTTTGGGAACTAACAACAGCACGAAAAGATGAACACTGGTATTCACTGTGTATATAAAAGGTCTATTTCTTTTTTTTATTATTTCTCAGTCGTTTGCAGACCGAGAGTATGCCACGTGGCAGACTGAGAATGATCAGTTTACGCGAGAGGCTTGTGACGCTCTGCTGAAGCAACTAAAAAAACAACACTTGGACCCAATCCTCGACCAGCTCCACGGAAAGGAAGGCGCCAAAGTCATGTTCGATGACATTGTAGCAGGTTACAAAAAGATTGAGCAGGACTACAAAGCTCGTGCCACCGGAGCTAAACCAGTTTGTGCTGCTGTGTTTTTCGAGTTTCATCCGGTAAATAGAGTTTTACTTGGAATTAAAAATTCAGACCAAAAATGAGACAAATTAATGAGTTAAAAGGTTTCTAATCTGTGTCTTTCTTTTTCTCCATGACATTAATAGTTTCACAGACAAAAAAAAATACAACCGAATTCAATTCCTTTAATACAAGTACATTGCGATTCTTGGTCTTGGTAACTATTATGTAGTTACAAGATGGTATAACTTTATAATCTCTTGGTAGTTACCACAAAGAAAACCAACAGACAAAGCAACGATGTAAGCGAAAGTTCTACTTTTATCACAGGAACTTATGACAGAAATGCAACAATACTTGGGCGTGCTGAAACAGTTAAAGGACTTTGACGCGAACTTGAGTCGAGAAATTGTCGCCAAAGCCTATCAAGAGCAAGAGAAGATAAAACTTGAGGTACTCATAATGCAATTTTAATCGACTCGTCTATCATATTACTTTTTAACGGGAAAAAAAATTGAGAATGATAAATGCCGGGAACGGAGAATGAGAAATGAAGAATAGGAAAAAGGGAAATGGGAAGAGGGAAGGAGAAAGGAAAATTGGGAATGGAAAATGAATAGGAATTGTTTTTGTTAACGTTCTGCGGCTAAATAAAAGGAACGAAAAATAACATCCTTTCCTCAACAAACTTAATCAACTGATTATTAAGAGAACAAAAGCTGATTGAAGTTCATGCTTTCTTTTTCTGTTCTTTGTCAAAAACATTGCTGGATTAATTTAGTTTCAATGGCGAGGATATAGAATTTCATCATCTGCTAGACAAAGCCTGTACTGATGTGACTTTTCGTTCTCAATTAAGGAGGAATACGAACGTTTGCAACAAGAAAATCGCCAGCACCATAAGGAAGTAAGACATTTTAAGTCAATGTCAGTATCTGAGAAACTGCACACCTACCCCTCCCCTAACTCAACAAGGGTCAGGGGAGGGGTAGGTGTGCAGTTGATCAGATTCTGACATCGATCCGACATTTTCACAACCACTAAAGAATTCACTCCACGCTTCAAAAGATATTTTCCATCGTCAAATCTATCTTTTGACGATTTCCACTTGTCCAGATCACAAAAATAGAATAAAGGAACAAAGCGGACCATTGACTGCTTTTTGTGAATTTTGGCTTCTCAGACGGAAGCGCTAAACATGCACGTCTTCGATTCCAGAAAACACAGACACACGAATTTTATGGCGATGAAATATAGTGAAATCCAATTAAAGACGTAGAAAAGTAAGTCTTTTTAAAAGGCGTGAGCACCCTCATTCTAGGTTTTTGAGTAACATCCGATTTGGTACAGGGGCAGGTGAAATAAAAACAAACAAAAGGCTGACATCTTGTCTAAACGAGTCCTGGTGCAGGGGCCGCCCTCTCTGCCTGCTTATTTTCTCTTGGTTCCATTCCAATGTAATTTTGTGATGTGTCAAATTAGATTCATTATTCCTTAATTTCTTTGTTATAAGAATATTGCCTCATAATAACTTTCACCTTCAAATTCCTTAAAATATATCTTTAGTTTGAATCACGCTAGCAAGAACATATCCCATTGGGTGTTTTCTGTGAAAGATTGTACAGTATTTTTATCAGAAATTCATTCTGAGTGACTAAGAAATTTGATGATTTAACCCAGAGGTGAACAAGAGTAGATGCCATAATATTTGTCATCATGACTTTCCTATAGCTGTCTGACCTGAACTTTTTCCTGTTTGGTAATTAGATGGAAATGCTGCAGGCAAAACAGGAGCAAGAAAAAAAGAGAATCCGTGGACAGATGGAAGCTGAAGCAGCGGTCCAACGACAACAAATGGAGAACATGGTAAAGGCGAGAATGATGAAAGCTGAAAAACACAGACCAAATTTTATGCAAGAAAACCAGGTACTCAGCCAACGACTTGCACAAATGCGTCAAAAATTGCGTCAAAAAGTCACTTTTGGGATCTATGCTGAACTATTTCACTCTGATATCCTAAGAAATTCGTTTAGCGTTCTGATCGGCAAAAAGACCGAGTAACAACTCGGTATTTTATTGCTGAAAATAACTTGAATTTCCGGTTACAATATAAGACGTTTCACAAGGGACCAGAAATTAGGGAACTTCAGCAAACCACGACAACAGCAACGAGGATGTGGCAAAACAAGAGATCTAAATAATGAGCAGAACAGTCGCTCGGCGCGTGAGTTTTAAAACTCTGTTCATCTCTCAGCCGTCCACTGCAAAACAACAACGTGAAATCACTAAAATTTTCGTGATCTGAGAAGGGAAATACTGTCTGCAAATTATCTAAGTTTCCAGTCCGACTGGACGCCACTCCTATACTTTATGCTGACATAAAGATATAACACCGTAAGAGACGGGAAACACGTCCAGCAATTTCCGAAATTCTAAATAAACAATAGTCTTTATTTGGCGCAAATATATGCACGATGGTTTTTGGTTTTTTTTGCTGTTCGGACATTATCTGTTCCGAGATGCGAAAAGTTTCTGAGTGAAGCTCGAGGAAAAGTGAGAGCTTAGAGCAACAGATAATGTCTAAGGACAAATATACGAGAATATTTTTGCGCCAAATAGAGGCTATTGTGTTCATCTTTCTTCAATTATTTTTGCAACGCGCGGGGAAAGTGTTTACGAACAGTTCACCGTTCATTACGTAGGATGTTCACTTTTCAGTGTTCGCTGGTACAACTGTATGAACACAAAACATGTCCTTTCTTCTGTAATCGTCACCATCATCATCATCATCTAGCTCTTTTCTGAACCTTATTCTTCTTTCTTTCAGCTCAGCTTTTGTAAGAAGTCGATTGATCCACTCTCCACCTGCCAGATCAGTTACCTATCACAGGACAAAAAAAAGGACACAATATCGACCACAGCACCAATTATGTGAAAATTTCATCTAGCATTGTCACACCAGATAAATATCAAAAGGATCTTGATTCTCCCCACGTATACCGGAATATTACGTTTCCTTCACTATGGCAAAATACACCTGTTTCATTAATTTCTAACACTCAACTAACATTTTAACACACAAGATAAATATTTCTCGCAATCAAAGATATTTGTCCATATAGCGAGCAGTGAAAGAGGACATTCACTTTTGAATTCAAATAGCTACAAGTGACTAAGACTATTTTACAACAAGGAAAACGATCTCAGTTACAAATAACAAAAACAATGCTCCCTGACGATTAAGATGAGGTGAAGGTTTACAGTTACAGTTTACAAACAAACACATAAATTACAATAAATACTAACTTTTTTAGAGGGAGGAAAACTGTCTAATATCTTCGAAATTATTTTACTTTCCACACACAAAGTATTAGCTAAGTTATTGTCTGCCTGAGAGAAAATCAACGATTTAACAAATTTCCAACCTTGCACGACTACACGCAACGGGTTTTACTCCAGGTCACCTCTCCACCAACATAATTGTTGCACGATGGAAAACAGACAACCCTAAATATTTCTTTTTGATGACCCGGAGTCCTCAATGTAATGTTTTCCTTGACTTTCCCAAAAGTAAAGAACTCTCCTCTCAATGTAACCATACTTTTCTGACAAAACCGTTTGAATCATATACGAGACACTTAAAAAAGAATCCAACTGATAAATAAGAATAAGGAAACCATTTAAAAGCGAGTAAATTATAGCACAGTACCGAGTTTGACTAGTAGCCGCGTGTCACGGGTCGCGCCAATGAAGTTTAAGCTTTTAAATGATTTCTTTTGATTTTTCGTTTGTTTTCTAGAAGGGCGCTTACGCCTGACGCACAGTAATGCTTCATTCTTCAAGCGCTAATTTCACAGGTTCCATAACATAACGTCTTTCCTGGATCTTTCAGCTGAATGTGATGTTAATGGAAACGTCGCCTCCAAAAGGCTTCTTCTCACGACTAGTGCAAGCGCTTTATTTTGTTTAGGACGTGGTCATATTGGTCTTATTTTGGATACAAAATGGGAACATCAAGCCGAAGCGCTTATCAGAGGTGACCCATGTGAAACACTTTCTTGATTTTTTTCCTCCTTTCCCCACCCCCCCTCCCCCTCCAAAAAAAAAATATCTCTATATATATATATATATATATTTATCCATTGAATTTTGTGCCCGCCTGTCTTCTTTTCCAATTCCTTCTCGCTATTATCTCTTTTTACCTTATTACCAACCCCGGAGTACTTTGCTCTTTATTCTATGTTATATTTTCGTTTAACACACCAAAAAGGTTTTAGAGTGCAAGGTTTGAAATAGTCATTTTAACAAATTCGCTATTTACAATGTTTTTCTTTAATTTTTCTTAAAAGAAAAAGAAAATAGGCTTCTATGACAAAGGCGACCGAGGGCCCTACGAGCATCTGACGGAGTTACTCAACATGGGCAGTGCAGCTAAAGACAAAAAGGATCCAACTGATAAATAAGAAGAATGAAACCATTTAAGTGCAAGTAAATTATAGCACCGTGTCAGTTTCTTTTTGGATGTTAATCATTTCACCGACAACTTTTGGTGAATTATTTCCTATCATCAGTACAAACCTTTAAAACGTAAATTTATGACAATAGAATCAACATGATTTTCGCTTTTCAAAACACGCATTTGGATTTAACACAAGAAAAAACCTTTTTTTTTTTTGGTTCTTTCTATTTTGTTGGGTTAACGCTTCCTGTTAATAAAAGCGAATAGATACTGGTACAGATTGTAGGGAACAACGTCATCGAATCCAAAGCATGTATAGGTTAACAGTAATTTCACGTCACATAATCAAACCCAAAAGAAAGCATCCCATAATAACAACACAAGCCAAAAAATTTCAAAAATTACCATTGCGCAAAGAAGTTTGGTCCGAGAAAAATTCTCACAATTCATCTTTTTTTCTCTCTCTTATGTAAGGCATAGCTACAAAAGATTTCTCTACAAGATTTCGCCAAAACCGAAGGGCCAGTCGAATGAACTCGAAGGAATCGAACTCCCAAAGTTTTCAATGAAGTTTCAGTAATCAAGCATCAACTATACTGGAAACTACTGTCTGTAAATAAATAATATCAAAGTTTTCAAAGCTAAATTTGTTTCTGTCTTAATTTAATCTTAAACATATTTTTCTGGAAACCATAGTCAAAGAAGCAATATATGAACCATTAAAGTATTTAACATGGGCTGTTTACGGTCTCCGCCATCCCCAACAATGGCTCCTGTTGTCACAACATAGAAATAGTAAATGTCGAAAACAGTGACTGTTCCTGATGTCTACATTCTTTCCCATGCAGACTACTCCAATAAATTGTCTCCAAAGCAACTTGCTGGAAACAATAACGAGTGTAATATGAAGAGAACCAAAATAAAAATTAGATACGACTAAGTGAAACAAGAACGAGACACTTACATGGTAATCGGTATACAATGTAATTTCTCTTCCATTTAAGGCTGAAAACAGCATTTTAAGCTCTGTCTTTGTCATCGGAACACCATCCAGATTCAGGGACTTCAGTTTAGGAACGCTACTGAGGTGCTGGACCAGGTCCCTGACTACTCTGCCAAGTGGATTGGACCCTAAACTAAGATATCTCAGCTCTGGTGCATCCTTCAGTGCACGAGCCAGTGCTGATGCTTCATCTTCACCCATATTTGTGTTCTTCAGGTCCAGTGAGGTCAGAGTAGGTACACTGTTCAGGTTCTTGGCCAGTTCAATAATCCCGTGACCCAATGCATTTTCTGATATAATCAGTCTTTCTAACTTGTTTAAGTACTGTAGTGAGGAAGCCAGTGCAGCACATTCCTTTTCTCCCATTTGTACTTCAACTAACTCTAACTCAGTCAACTGTGGCACGTGATGAAGATTCTCAGCCAAATGACTCACACCGCTGTGTAAGGGGTTCCTTGACAAGCAGAGCTCATGCAAGTTTGGAGAGTGGTGCAGTGACTCAGCAATAAAAGCAGCACACTTTCCTGTTAGATCGAGATAGGAAAGTTCTAATTTGTGGAGATTGTCAGTAAAATTAATTTCGTAAATCGCGCTCTCAATCGAATTACCTTCCAAGGTATCTGTCACGCTCCCCCATATAGCAATATCTCGAGGAGCTGTTACTAAAGGCAACAAGTTCTTCAACAGAACAAAATCCTCAACTGTTTTCACGAATAAATTAACCTCTCTCACCAGTGACACACAATGTTGTTGTGTCTGGTCAGATCTGTTCTCAGTCAAAGAAAGCGCAATGTCGTTGTCTTCATTCTTTCCCAGATTATCCACAGGTGGCTGAGAAGGACAAACCGGCGCTGAGATCAATTCAGAAAGCAGTTTAGAGTGAAGTACTTTATCTGTTATGCGATGAAGATAGATAAAGATTCTCTTTTCGCTTTTTTTGAGGAAAAAGTCCGCATGGCGTAAATCGGCGTATTTTTTTACATCTTCAATTTCTCCAGAGCACGTTAAAACGACCGCGTTCAAGTCAAACCATATGGATAGAAGATCATCATAATTAGTGTTCCAACGTGAGTAAAATAAATAGTTTGGAGAGCTGTCGGTGTTATTGAAGAAGTGCGTTTTGGCAGCAATAGACGAGTGTTTCTTATCAAGTATTACAACATGGTTAACACATGAGAGAAATGCAGAATACACAGCTGGTCTGTTTGAGGCCGGACAACAGAACAAACAATCGACACAGAGTTTAATAAAGGCGCATTGTTTACCAGACAAATCTTCGTCTGCAGGCGTCCTAGTGAAATTGTAATTTGTGAGACCTTCTTTCTCTGCGATATAATGTAGATGATCAAAAACAATGCCGACAGCATCTGATGACAACTCACAAACGAATCTTAGAACTTCAGCCATCTTCCTTGATTTTTCAAACGTATCCATTCCCGACAAGAAGATGACGGTTTCATTCTTCTTAACCTTCAGTTCTTGAACGATGAACCAGGCCATTCCCTATTTTCATTGTCAAACGCCTTGAATCTTGCTTCCACAATTTCGAATGCTATTTTTATCTCTCGTTTGTAATCGAGCAAAAAGCTCTAAAAATTTCGCAATTATTCATGCCACTTTGCTAGATCCAAGCAATTATATTTTATAGAGGCAGGGGGAAGGATGATGGGGTTGGGGGGGTGGGGATTAACGGGCACGCCCATAGATATGTCCTCATTTTACCTCTTTTCTTTGGGGTTGAGGCGTCATTCAGAGACGACTCTTCATCACGGCGTTTCACCTTTGGCCGAGGCAAATGTTTAGTAGAACCACCTGCACGATAACAAATGTAAAAAAATAATTAGAACACAACATATTATGATGGGCAATGGAACAACTGATGAGTGGCAATGGAACTTATTCCTTCCCTAATGAAACGTTTTTGGTGAATTTGTTTCAAGGCCAATTTGTGCCACTGCATTATGCATCCCTATTGTGCATCATTTGGCACGAAAAATGCACACATACATACGCGAACAGAAAATGTCTTGTTTTCTTTTTTCCCAACCAGTAAGAAAAATTGCCATCGCCAAGTAAACGGATTTGGTGACAAACCATTTATATCTCCAGTTTGCAATCGAGCGAAAAGCTCTTAAAAAATATTTTCCATACAATAAGCAGCTTGGGTAAAGCCAGTCTAAATCTCCGTCACTGGGAACTCCTTGCTTGACTACAAACATTAAGACATCACAGCAAAGCATCAAGATGAGACGATAGCGAGTAGTACGTAATGCATCTATTCATACCATTTTGCCGGATCCACGCATTTTTATTTTACAAAGGCAGGGCGAAGGAAGATGGGGTTGGGGGTGGGGGTTGACTGGCACAGAGTCGTTAAATGGGAAGTTTGCAACGGTATTTCCTGTAACTTTGCATTCTTGTGGGTGGGCAAGTTGCTTGCCAGCAAACTGATATTGACTTAGGTATTCATCGAAAAATTTATCTGAAGAAACAAAACTCACTTTCTTACGATCAATGGATACCAAAGCCAAAAAAGCAGGAGGAAATACTGGCAACCTTACGCTTACGGTTGGCAGTTAAGAAGTGAGTGAATTTTTGCGCTACCAGAAAACTATATGAAAATATACAAAGGCATCAAATGATCTTCCTTCTCTTTGATTTGGTCACCGACAAATGAAGCGACTCTTTTCCAGTTTCGAGGCACTGTCAACAACGAACACAAGATACAGAGGCCAAAAAGCATGGTGTCTACGAATTTAGACACTATGCTTGTATGTAATTGTATTTTAATTGAATTGCAAGATTGGTGATATATTACCAGTGATAAGTTGCTCAGCTAAATCTGTGCGATTAACCAATGGATGACACAATGCATCATGTAGGACCGTGTATGTTGCGGCTGAGCCATCCCTCTCTTTCCAATGTAATAACACTTTGTAGATTTTTTCAGACCATTCCTTATTTTCATTGTCAAACGCCGTTAACCTTGCCTCCTCAATTTTAAGACGACGCCCGACTCTCTTCCATTCATCGAGTTTCTGCGAAAGCCACTCTAAATCTTCGTCACTTGGAACTCCTTGCTTGACTACAAAAATAAAGACATCACAGCAAAGCATCAAGATGAGGGAATAGCGAGTTGTACGTATCGCAACTATTCATACCATTTTGCTGGATCCACGCATTTTAATTTTACAAAGGCATTTTCGCGTGTGCAGTCGAGCGAGAAGCTTGAAAAAATTATTTTCCATACAATTAGCAACTTGGGGGAAAAGAAAAGAGACATTCACTAGCAATGAAAACTTGCAGGGACACTTGAAGCACATGCACACTTGTATCGCATTCTTAACAAATGTTAAAAAAAATATTTGGGACAGATTTTTTCGCTCAATAGATAGGCTTGTACACAGCCTTGACGATTTGCCTTTTCCGCTTCACTGAAGAAATCTATAAAGACAATGATTTTAAGGTGGCTCGACTGGATTTTTCAAAAGTCATACTGTTCAAGTTTGAAAATTAACTACGACGCCACGAGCAACGTTATGGTAAAACAATTACCACAGCTGTATTACAAAAAGATGAAAGTTTGTTGTGATTGGTGTTATGTTGACATCGGAGTTTCCATAGCAAGGTAATGACGTCATGACAGTTTTTGCTTTCGTTCGTATTTCTCAGTACCATGAGGTTTTTTCGTAAATCGCTCACTGGAGCTTTTATCTCTTGTTATTGCCTAGATGTTGGCCAAGTTTGAACAAATTCAATGAGAGCATTTTTGAAAATTTTGAGGATGAAGTTTTGAGGGTTAAAAATACAGTAAAAACATTGTTGTCGAGATAATTTGGTGATATCTAAAGAAAACGATGCGCCTTGGGAATGCCGCTATACCACGTAGTTGCTTTATTCCACTTCAAATTGTATGTAAAAAGTTGGCGAGATTGCTCTTACCGATTGTGAGAAAAAAGGGTTTGATGCCTTTGCATTCAGATGCTCTTGTTGTCATTTTTGCGTATAATTTGGTCTATGCCAACAAATATTGTAATATTTTAAAAACTGCTCGATAGATTTTTTTAAAAAATCGTCAGTGCTAAGTTGTATTTTCATTGTATACGGCCTGCAGTTTTCAAGGTTATTGAAAATGTGGAAGTCAATAAAATTGGGCCTCAAACGTACTAATTTGTTACTCCCCATATCGTGTTTACAAGTGAGCGACCTCATTATTCAGAGACATTGTTTTAAATTCTCATATCCATGTGCACAACTTTAGCGAAAAATGCATTTGCATTAAAGAGAAAGCTCGACTACTTTCGGATATTTTTCCGAAGCATGCTAATATGAACTGAAATTTTAGCATTAGTCACGCAATTATTCGGTAATGCAGCAATGCCGAGAGAATCTCTGACTAGAAAAAGGAAAACTGCTGTTCTGCAGAACAACGTGGCCGTAGGAAAGAAGGCTAGACGAAGTGAATCACAGGTATGGATGTTTTCATAACGATTTTCTACATTATTTCAATGAGGGTCTCCATTTGTCAGTGATTTGTTATATAACTAGTAAATTTTGTTTACAGGATGCTGAGGAGCAGCTACAGTCTCAACCAGGGCGTCCAGCTAATTACAGATCCAAAACGGTTAGGAAAGAACAATGCAAGGCAATGAGAGAGCAGCGATGGAGTGATAAAGTTAGAAATGAAATAAGTTTAGGCAATACAGCCGACAATGTTCCGGAGGGACCCACCTTGAGATCAAGTCTGCCGTACACAAAAGCTGTAAACATGGATCAGTGTTATGTGGTTAATTTGGAAATGCTAACAACCGCTTTGAGCGAGTGTGTGAATTGTAAACAAGGACCCCTAGATTTACGTAATAGTTTTAATGTTCGCCCGGAAGGAGTGTGTCCAGTACTAAAAGTTAAATGCACACAATGTGAGTTTATTAACATCGTACGCCCGGCCGAGCATCATCGTACTGGAAAAAGAGGCCCTCCCACCTTCGACGCTAATTCCCGTGCTGGGCTTGGTGCACTGCATTGTGGATTGGGACATACGCATACCTCTGGATTTCTTACAACACTTGGTGTACCATCAATTTCCTCAAGCAATTTCAAAAAGCGGGAAAGAGAAAGTGGAAAAGCAGTAGAAGAAGTGGCTAAAGATTCTTGTAATCAGTTTAATGAGGAAGAAAAGCGGTTGTCCACGACTGGAAATGAGGAAGTAGTAAAACTCGGAGTGTCGTACGATATGGGCTGGAGAAAGCGAGGACGTTGTCACGACTCGTCGTCAGGAGTGGGCACAGCAGTGGGGTTACATACCGGAAAAGTCATTAGTTATGCTACTCGCAATAAAATGTGTAGGGTTTGTGACGAAGCGGAGAAAAAGAATAAAGAAGCAGAAAGCCACGACTGTCGAAAAAACCACGAAGGATCCTCGAAAAGTATGGAGGCAAACGTAGCAGTCGAGCTTTTTTCAAGCGCCCCGAAAAGTGGAGTGATTTACTCGACTTATGTGGGAGATGACGACAGCGTCACAGAAAACCATCTCAAAACGCTGGTTAACTACGACATTGATAAATGGAGTGATGTGAATCATGCAAGTCGTACACTGGGAACGAGATTATACATGGCTAAAGGAAAGATTAAAGGGTTGACTCCTAACGTGATATCCTACATCCAAAAGAGCTTCACCTACTGTGTTAACCAAAACAAGGGCCAGCCATCCTCATTACTCGAAGGGCTCACCTCTATCGTACCACACGCGTTTGGCAAACACGATAACTGCAGCAATTCCTGGTGTGGATACAAAAAAGACCCTGAAGGCTACAAGCACGGAAGTCTTCCAGGAGGCAAGGACCTGACGGGCGAAGATTTACGTGCAACCTTGGAAGAAGCTATTCGACCATTTCTTTCTCATGACTCCGTGAAAAAGCTGGCCCCAGCGGGCTCATCACAGAGAAATGAAAGTGTAAACAGTTCCATTGGCTCGAAAGCGCCGAAAATAAGACATTATGGAGGCTCGCAAAGCAGCGACTTTAGAACCGCTGCAGGAATAGCTCAGTTTAACAAAGGGAACAGATATCTGACATTAGCCACGGAAAAAATGGGTCTGGCACAGACGCATATCACAGAACAGAACACCGACAAAATTGACAAGAAAAGGAAAAGGGATGGCGAGCGAAAGTCAACAAAAGAGTTCAAAAAAGCGAGAAGAAACTCTCGAAAGAAAAAGAATCAAAAGACCAATTCTGCTGAGAAACGCGAGTCAGCAACGTACGAGACAGGGATCGGCTGGCAACAGAGCGACAAAGAGAAAGCCGCCATCACGAATGCAACCATGAACGATCTAAAGGCATGTCTGACAAAGGAGGAGTTTAATGATTATACCGATGATCTCCCAAAATCCAACGAAGGGAACAGCCAGGAAGTCTCCGAGTTACCTGTAATCCAACAACGTTCACGTTTTCTTCATTTGGCCCTCGACATAGAAACAACAGGTCTAGACCGGAAATCGG